GTCGCTGCTAAATATTCCATTTTATTGTTTATTTATCCGACCGTGACTGTATCTTTTTCTTCAGTTAATAGTGCAATAAAGTCACTGATTAGAGGAGTCTGGTTTTACTCACACTTGTAGTTTTTTTCATTTGCTTTTCTGTTTAATGTGTGAATGTACCCGTTTTGTAAATCCTTCTCTTCTTCCAATTTTTCGCTGTTATTATATTTAAACTAATATTTATATGATTCTTGTCTATAAATAATAAGTCTCCATTTTCTTTCATACATTCTTAAGATTCTCTTCGTTGATCTTTTGTTTATATGGGGATGTATGTTAATTTTTCGCATAGAAGAAATAAGTTTTTATTTCTCTACCTTATTTTAACTTTTATCCTACTAGGATGTAAACTTGTCATTCTGAAGATTTAGTTTCTGAAATATGTAACCTGTAAGACTAGTGAATTATTCCATCCTCACTATGGGATATTTTGTTTCCATTGGATATTGTATATTTTGATTCTAAAAATGCGGCTGGCTTAAACATACGCTTTTTAGTGGATGAGTCTACCTACTTCAGCCTAAGCAGCTGGGTAGTATTACCAGCCCTCACACGATAAGTGTAACCCTTAACCCTGGTACATGTAAAATCTGTGCCACGTAATTGAGCTTAAGAAAATATGAGTCCACGATAAGGGTAAGATTAATATTGGTAAATTTTACCACTTTATAAACTTTGGAAGGCGATGTTCAAGTTTAATTTTGAGGATTTCACAGGACAGTAGAAAAAATGGAAAAAAATACATTGACAAGGAGCTGTGGCTAGGTGCTCGACTCCTAATTAATGGATTGCGGGTTCGAGTCCAGGTCCCCTTATCAAGGTCTATGGCAGCCAGATAGTATCATCAACCCTCTTACAATAAATGTGACTCATCACCAGCAGTATGAAATTGAATCAGACAAAAGTGGTCTAATCGTTGGCTTTCTCTGATGTATTTTGATGAAATAAATTATATTTCAACAGTTTACACACAATGATAAGTTTTTCTTTTAGTAATAGTTCCAGCAAAATTACCACCCGTGATTACACCAACTGTTGGATTGGTTTTTAAATTGCTAGAAACAAAAAACATCATTGTGTGCAGACTATTGAGATATAATTATAATTTATTTGATCTGTCCCACAATCCCTAAACTTTCTACTGTTAATGGCTTTTGTGGAAACAGAGAAAACACAATATATCAATCCTTTTCAGTTGAATGATGGAAATACGTATGTATTTCTAATTCTTCACATTTCTCGCAACATTAACGGTACAAAATTTATCTTCCAATAAATTGTGTCTCCTCATAGGTATACTATATAGAATTGTAGTAACTCCAAGAGTTGTATTCATGTTAAATATTTTCTCCTCTAAGTGTCTGAAATATTTCTATATTGAAGAAATGTAAATAAATTCTAGATATGCTAGAAACTATTGTTTAGTTTACAACCTATCTCATTATCTAAAGTAGTTTTATTTCAGTAGAAAGTGATTGAGCCCATTGATGACTTCATTTAATCGTTGAACTATATCATCTGTAGTAAGTTTAGAGCTAGCGAAATCTTAGCACAAAAGTCACAGCCATACATTATGACCGTTATAATTCGGTTGTAGTGGTCTCTGTCTTATGATATACTTCCGAAACATAGTTGTTAAGGTGGAGGACCTATGCTTACTTCAAGTGTTTGCCAATGTTGTTTCAATAACATTGCTGCGGTTTAGTGAAACCATTGCGTCACCACTGCAGAAGTTAGACACGGGGTCTTTAGTGAGATAATTTACTTTCCGTTCCCTGAGTTATCAGGGTTACGTGTTGTAAATATGCAACTGCCGTCAACTTCAACATACTAACTTAGTGTTTTGATCCAAGACGTAGTAACCGGTACAACGACGTATTAATGTCGGTAGTTTCTGACTAAGGAGCTAGATTTTTTCATAGCATCATCATCCTTGTCACAGAAAAATAATTTCGAGGAAAATTAAGCTGACAGAAATAAATGACGGATTACGTTAGTCTGTCACGTAACTTGGTTTTGCACAGCCACTGAACCCCCAAATACACATTGATATAATAGAGAAGATTTGTAGCTCAGGTGGATGATTTGCAATTAATAGTGTTCTCTGAGCTGGTTGGTTTAGTTGCGAAGCTTTCGTCGTCCTTCTTTGCTAAATATGGCGCTGAAGATGTTGTCCAGAAGGACGACGAAAGCTCAGAGAACACTATTAATTACACATTGATATGTTTGACGGTAATCCGTAGCTTTCAAAAGAGAGGGTCATTGATCCTGTCTGGCTCACTGATTCTTGGTAAGTCAAACTGTCTTCAAACCTGTCGACTATTGGCATGAAAACTATCTGCATTCTGTGGACAAGAAAAAATATTTCCAGTATGTACACTTTGTGTCTTTTCTTCTGTTACTAATTCTCAGTAGGCCGGCAAAACGATGGCCCATTATTATTACATTTCTTTTGGGTATCGGGTGGAAAATAGGACTTCCGCAGCAGAGTTTCATTTCATCCTGTTCTCTGCAGTGTTTCTGAGATGGCTCCATGATTGCCCATAAGCTTTTACTTCCTCATCACACGATCTCTTTCGTGTCATTATCAGATGCTCAACTCGTGTTTTCCCATTCAGGTTCATATACTGTTACCCTACTTACTTCATTTGACAGAGATGGGGGATTTTTTCAATAACTTTTTTAACTGAGTACAAAGAGATAAACAGAGAGAGAGGAAGCTGTCTGTAATCACTTCCATTTTATATTTCACAGTTGGATACACTTTTATGACGTCCTCGGATAATAATTTTCCTTTATGACTACAGAATTCCTACCCCACCGCCAACCATTTCCCTGATTTTATGTCCACTTTCTTGCAACACTTTCTTATTTTGAATTACGTAAATTAGACAAGAACATAATGTGTACACTTAATTTTTATTTCTCTAAAAGTTTAAATTGTGCGAACTGTTTATGAATGAATGACTACTTTATTTTATTATCGCTTTTATAAATTTCCTCCAAAAATTAGACGCCTCTACATATAATATATTCAGATTAGTGTTTTGCCTTTTCTCAAGCATATATCATCATTCTATATGTTTGTATCCTTTTGAACTACTAGACTTTATGTAATATATTCCGATATCTTTATGCATTTGTTTTGACAGAGAACATTGGTGTTTCACCCTGGAACTTGAGCAACACATAGTTTGCTTTATATAAGAAATTTTTGCTAATTATGGAGTTAGTGAGTTGTGATAAATACGATTTAGACAGAATAGATCATTTTCATTAGGGAACACCAATATTATTATACATTCAGCTGAATGAGTTGTGAATGGAGTGATGCTCACTTTCATTATTTTTCTGTTAGTCGACCTTTCATAGATTAAAAATATGATTTTTTTTCCTTCGCGTTCCCCAGTGGAACATAGGGCTTCAAGCCACTGACTTGAAGTTTCTGTAGCAGTATTTATTTTACAGGATGGGGTTGCTAGCCTCATGCCCAACCTTTCCTCTTTACCAGCATTATTTCTGGCTCAGCGAGGTAAAGGAGTGCGTCGGCCGGGGATCGAACCCCGAAACATGTGTGTGGTCGGCGAGCGTCCTAACCGCTATACCACCGACGCGGTGGTATAATTTCAGAAGAATTAATTTCACCCCACGTATCAGCAGTATTTAATTGTATTCACTGCAGTGATGTATATATATATATATATATATATATATACATCATACATATATATATGTATATATATATAAACTCAAGAGAATGTTAGGCTATTACATAACTGTCCGAAGAGGTGTACTCTATGTAAGATCACTGTCTACTCCTAATCACATCTAGATTTTACAGTCATCGATATCATTTCTATCGCGAATCCTATCCAAAAAGCCTTCATCTCTTGACACACGTCAAAACAAGCATTTACAGTCTATATATATATATGGATCTCATGTTGTAGTGTTTTAGGACTTTCAGTTTACCGAACTAGTCATATTCGAAGAAATTCTGTGCTCCAAATAATTCAGTCATTTCATTTATTGCGAAGGCTCTGACAACCACTGATCAGATTGCCTTCTGCAGTGAGACTACGCACATTATGTCCATTGATTCTGCTGTAAAAGGCAGTAGTGAGTAAATTCTTCAGTTCTTCTGAAAAGTACTAAATTACAAAGGATTACTTCAGGATACTCCAGACTTCTGATGACCATTCGAACATCATATTAGTTTTTAAGTGGATGAATTTGATGAAAGTCAGAATATTGTCATACCAAGCTTCACCACCTAATGTGATTCTCCCCACCCCCCTGAACTCGAGCACTTCATTACCTAAAGTATCTGTCAGTTTGTAATTGACAGATGATAAGCATCAAAGTTCTGGAATTCCTGAGAATACCTTGAAATCCTACACAGTGGTTTATGTTGGTCTTCAAACACTGAAGTTGATGTAAAGAATATCCATCTCAAACATCATTTCTTGTAAAGTCATATGGAGAAGTAGTCAGTTCCTTGTGTCTGTCGTATAGTCATAGATATTAAAGTTCGTGATGAACATCACTGGGTGTAGATACTTCGAAAGTTGGTTCATTATAAGCTGTAAAAGAGCCAGAAATATTTGATTATAGAGTATTTTCTAAGGAAGATATGCATCCTTCAGTGCCACAAAATGTCTCACTCAAAGAAATAAAATATCCTGTTGAAATTATTTTTTTTTGAATCCTGCATTGATTGTTTTTATTGAACAGAAATCCTCGGTCTTTGTTGACATGCTGGTTCCTAGAGTGCATGAATGGAATACTACTTACAGGCTATTAAACACGGTTGCTGCTGGCTACCTATAAATATACGATCTGAAAAAGATAAACTCTGCTCAGTTTTCAAGTCCACATTTTCACTCATTATTCTAATCTTTAAAGCTCTTTTCATGCAATTAATAATCGTCGTTTACTTTGCGTTTTTACTCATTAAACAGCCACTGCATCCTATGAAGTTGAAGGGGTAGCGTTGGAAAATTGCTTTTTCATGCTTCGGAAAGTACCAGACTCGAACCGGTATCAGTTATTTCGTGGTACAGAAATGGTATGTTTACTATTATATATATTGATGAAAATGATTTGCTATGAAAGCTTGTCATATAAATTATACTACTCAGTTTTCTTATTAAGAACATTTTCAGTAATCGTTTAGAACTAGTGCTAGTATGTTGTGTTACCTCAATTTTAATAAATGAAAAGGTCTGTAAAGATCTACGCTAAGCTAATATGTAAATTGCATACAACCTCAACGAAACAGTGTTAGTGAAGTTCTTTGGTGAGGTTTTGAAGCTACAATGATTGGAAATTACCATTGATTTACTCGTCGAACAGTGTTAGCTGACATAGAATTAGGTTGGGAGTGACGCTTCTATCCATCAAGTTTGTGACCATTGGTTTGGGCCATGTAAGGAGGTTTAAACTGCCTGGCTGTGATCCGGAAGACTCTAAGAACCGATGGTTTGAGACTGTTGGTTACATGGCGCAAAATCATTCCTATCAGTGGAGATGCATTTACGCTGTAATCACCAAGATTCATTAGGTTTCCATGTTTCTCAGTTAAATTATTCTTCCTCTGGTACATTTCCGTTGCATTATAATTTTTGAATTGTTTTCACCTTCTCTACTCTTTTGCTCTCTATGAAGTGTTACAAGTCGAGCTACTGTACTTTATTGCAAAGTTCTACGTTGAAAATTCAGTTATTCAGTCACAGTATGATGGCAGTTCATACTACTACACAGTTGACTGAAATATAGTAGAAGTAGCGGCTGATATGCTCTTAGTATGAGCTAGAATTATCTGGTTATTTCAAATATAAGCTTTTACCTGAATTTACATGATCTTTACTTTTTTTTTACATTTGAATAATGTCGTCTTTGCTGAACTCTAGCATCTTAAACAAATCTAACAAATTCAGTTTCTATAGTTGGTTTGTAAGGATTAGTTTTGCTTTCACGAGTTGATCACGGATTGATATCAGTTAGAGAACCATTGAAAACCAGGGAGTACTGAGACAGCTGTTTCATCCTAGTTTGGGAATCATCGGCAGCACGCATCCACCACAAAGGATTCGAACCCAGGACCTTCCGGTTACAAGGCAAGCTTGTATACCATTCAGCCACTGGGACTCGATTCAATGGCTAGTCCATGAATTCTAACTTCTACCAAGTCGTGATTTAGCGCTACCACCAACCAATGTCATCGGTGGGAAATCCATTCTCGCACGTGACTGAATGGACCTCACTGGTCACGACTTCTCACTAGAACTCCAGGAAACTCCGTCCTGTAGCAAGTCACTAGCGAGCATCAGATTAATTTTCTATAGTTGGTTTGTAAGGATTAGTTTTGATTTTACGAGTTGATCACGGATTGATATCAGTTTCTTTTTAAAAAACAACGGAAAAATAAAACAACCGCAAGCCTTTCACACAGGTTTTATTTAATCTACAACTTCATAACATACAATAAACTACAAATGCACAAAAATCTATGTAAGCTACATGTCGTCGTAGCCTCTGAGCTATATACAACAACATAAGAATGAAGCTTGTAAAATTACTACTGGACTAGTACTATTTGTATATAAGATTCCCCTGTAAGGTATTCTAAGTAAGAAGGTAGTTTATATCTGAAATCATTTCAAGACATCAACTCAATTTTGTCATAAACCTACTATTAAATTTGTTTTTTGATTAGTGTTTAATTTGCCTAATGATACATCTGTTTATTGATTTTTTCTTTGCTCTTTAGCCTCCCATTCTTTGGTGGGGTAAAGTGTATGGATATTTTAGAAAGTCTATGGAAAAAGGCAGTTTTGGTTTCTACATACTTTTGCATTCTGCTACAGCCTTAACATTATTCCGTTGTGCAACTGTAGATGAATTAGCCAGATGGGAAACTGTATTCAATGATGGCTTTGCTCAATGGCGTGAACAAGCAGATACTTTTGAAAGTTTGTGTAAGTTTTAACAGTTGTTATGATTTGACTTTATTTTTTTGCATTTTTTGCATTTTCATTCTAGTATACCTTAACAACCAGAGAATTTAGACTCACTTTAAACTTTGTACACTGAAATTAAATATTATTGTATTTGTTGTTCACTCTTTTGTTCAATTTGATTGATGCTTTTATCTCTTCTTACAAGAATTTTGAACTTAGAACCTAAATATATTGTGTTCACTAAAAGTATGGTAAAAAACAAACAAACAAAAGAGCGTCGACTCTTATTTTCAATGAGTGAGTTAGGATCCAGTTCTCAATTAATCAATATTTCTGCTAGATAAATGCTAATTTTTCATGTTCAAAGGTTTCTAAGTTTGTATTTCTGGAAATATATTAAATTTGTAGGTGATACACTCCCATACACATGCACACATACAAATGCATCAGTTGTAGAGTTTAACGAATCCGATGTGAGAGAATTATCAAAAAGCTGACATTCTTCTTGCCGTTTTGGTTCAACCTCATAAGTAGTTTCACTGTATGATGATAACACATAATCAATTCTATATTCCAGGAATACGTTTCCTTAGTTCATAAACAGCATAGCCGTCATTTAACTGGTTAAATAATCATTGAAATATCAGAAAAAATTGATGTTTTGTTTTTAAACTCACCCATTAATTTACCAGCTATTCATTCACTCGATGCAATACTTTTTTTCCATTATTTGGTGTGCTGACTATAAAATAGGGTTTCATGCTTGGGTTTTGAAGTTTCGATAATGGCTGTGTTTCTTCCTCGGGAGTGGTTGCTAGTCTCACGTTCAGCCTTCTGTCTTTAGTGGACTTACTGTCGGCTAAGCAAGGTATAGGAGTACGCTGGCCGGAAATCGAACCTTAAACCACATGCATGGTTGTTGTTTAGCATTCTACCACTGAACTACCAACGCACACCGATGCAGTACATGATTGCACAAAATTAATTCAGCGATCAGTAGTTCTTATTAAACATTATTATTAAGTTTATTGTTGTAGTCAAAATAATATATTTAAAAGATTCTTTTGAAGTGCTTGGACGATATGTCTTTGTCGGTTGTTACCTATAAATTTCGAAGTATAGTACGATAACTTTTTTCTTTTGATGTGGACATTTCCCAATCAAATGCATTCATACGCCTTACTTGGGAATGAAGTTCATTCCTATTCTCTGCTAACCATCGGTTATCTCATGTATTTTCAAGTCGACTGTCTCATTTACTAGACGTTTCTTAATCCGTTAATCTCGAATTAAGGTATTCGCCATTGATGACAAGAGTGAATTTAAAGTTTGTACTGCTTTCATACAAAGGAGAACGCTGTGTCTGTCTGTCTGTTTTCGACATAGAACTTTGCACATATGTGCGGCAGTTCAAGTCGCCACACTCCATGTAGCACACAAAGCAAGAGAAGAAAGTAGGAGAAATGCATAATATAAACAGTAAACAGAGGCGTGAGACAAAGGTATAGTAATAACGGAGAACAAAACAGTTTAACTGGAAATCATAAATAACAAGGAGTGGATGCATCTACGCCATTGAGAACGATTTTGAGCCATGTCACCAATTGTTTCCAACCATTGGTTTTTACCGTCCCGAGGACCCCAACCAGTCAGGAAGTCTACACCTTCCTACGTGGCTTAGACTAACTGTTGTAGATTTCATTGACTGGTGCCATGTTTTCGTTTGACTGCCGCTAGCTCTTTTCCAGCCAGGCAGGTTTAAGGCCAGGAAAAAGGTGTATTGATCATATCTTCACTCTCCGACAGATTCTAGAACATAGGCATTCCTACCGGCGTCCTACAATCATTATATAGAACGCTGTGTACCAACCTTTACAATGATACAAATGTATTCAACTTTTGTCATCTACTAGATCCTGATTTCCTTCACTAATTTATTGAATTTACTCTGAATTTCCTGTTCATTAGACTGAAATGCCCGATTTGTTTTGACGTGTTGACTTCGATAAAGTTTTGAAGCTAAAATTGTGTTATTTGGTTAATGATAGGCAACAGTATAATCCTTGACACGCGCTTCTTTCTACCTGGTATTCACCAACTGCACCACTTAAATTACAGTATGTTAGCCTTAAGCCGTCTTAAAACGTCTGTACTAGGAGCCGACATATCAACAGAGAACATGTATTTGGAACCGATATAATTTGTCAACAAGGAACCCAGAATAATAATAACAACAAATGACTGATACCTGTGCACAAGAGCCGGCTCTCATGGTTCATCAGCTCAGTGGATAATGATTAGAACTATGTGTACCGAAATCGACTGGATTCCCCATCGCTCACTAGGGTTACATGTACATCTGGCTGACGAGTGCTAAATATCACGAAAGAAGCGTCCTGCCTCTCCATCACCAGCCAAATCATATGTTGTTCACTAATCATCAGCTAGTTCTTCTCTTCACCATCAAGATTTCTTTCATTGCCGTTTTACTTGTACTCTTCTTTTTAATTTTATGTATATTTCTCCACATTGTTAAAACCTGAGTTGATGCACTTTTGTACAAATTTCGGTGTTATTAAGCCAGTCAATCAATAGCGTTATAACATCATTGAAAATGTCAGTCATTCCAGTTCAGTGCGAAAATTCCCAGACAAACATTTCATTTGTAAATAATGATGGTGGTCCTGGATTCTGTCTCAGTCAGAAAAACAGACGCTTGCTTACGAAATGTCTGGATATAAAATTTCATCAATTATCGAAACAAAAATAAAATAAAACAAATTCTCTCCATTTATTTGACAGCCGTCCGTCGTATATGTGACATTAATCACTGAATTTTAACCGTAATCAACTAAGTAGAAAACTGTTTGCAGAATATATCTTCCACTGCTAAACAGATTTCGCATTTTTTTTCCATTTCGTACGTTCCAAGTGGAACAAAAGATTTCAAGTTTTAAAATCCCCGTTTTTCTACGGTGTTGGATTGCTAACCCCAAGTCCGACCTTCCTTCTACTCTAGTTTTACTGTTGGCTATTAAACTGTGTGAGATTTTGGAGTGCGTCGGCCAGGAATTAAACCCTAGACCAAGTGCCGAGCACTCTACCATATTGGACCATCGACGCACATACCAAGATCACACTGAGCATATAATTAGTTCTTAAAATTATGTTGCCTTTCTTAGGGGAGTAGTGGGTTAAAGTACGTACTTATGAATCATATATATCCATGTATAGGAGTGTTATGTAATTTTGTTCACTGGAGCTTCTTTTGGAATCACATCTGTAGGAAAACAGATTAAGGTAAAGCGTTTTTTTCGAACTAACAAAAACTATTTTATAGTATTTTAAATTATTTTAATGATAAAAACTGGGTTGTCCACGTGGCTGGTTATTTCAGAAAGGGGTAATATTGTGTATTTACTAGTTTTAATGTTAATTGCTTGAGCACTTTGTCTTACTGACTGACAGTAAGAATAGAAGCATTGGCCACCTACAAAGTGCTAAACCAATATTAACTGCTAGATATTATCAGATTTGCTACCACTGATACAGATCCAATAGTGTGTGATTCAATAATTCAAGTTTTCCGTGTTTTTTTTCATAGGCATACGAATGATTGTTAGACTTTCTCTAAACAAAAGATTGTTATCTTAGAACCAGTTTCAAGCTGTATACTTCATTGTCTTACTCCATTCTTATAAAAAATCAAGGCCCACTAGACATAGACAGAATAAACAGGTTATTATTTGAATATATTATGTTTACTGTGATTGCAAAGATAAATAGACTTAAAAATTAGGTGATAGAATAACTGAAGGCTTAAATGACCTAGCCTAAATAATTTGAGCAAAATAATAGTGTCATGGCTTCCACACAAAAAACTCATTTGTTTTCCTTCTGTTATTTTCACTCATAAAACTATTGAACAGATTAAGCTAACAAAGTACGTTATTATGAATTGATTTGTTAAGAGTAAATCACTTTATATATACTCTGTACTACTTATAAAACTACATAAGTAGTATACGAAGCAACGTCTTCAAAAAAGCTGACATTGAAAGTATGCGATAAAAGACTAACTATTCTAAGTAGAACTAAATTTAACTCCGATTTTTATCTGATATCCCTATATTACTCCATCAGTTGGCTTCTGAACAGGATAAAATCAATATCTTCTGTTTAACTGAATTTCGTTTATTCCCATTACTTGATTTGAACCGAAATGTTTGGCCTATGCTGGCATGTCGGCTCCTAGTACGGACACTTCCACAATATTTGAGGATTAACATGATGTTATTTAGTGGGTGCTGACCAGCAGTAGAATACAGGATGCACATTTCATCTTATTTGAGGCTCGTCAACTGGATGTACCTGCAAGCCTTATTGACTGATCGTGTTCCCACTGAGGCTGTAATCGAGTTCTTATCGGTTCAGATTAAATGCTCATCATCTATCCCATTGCTAGTCGTCATCCACCAAATAACATTATGTTAATCCTGAGACATCGTCGAAGCGTCCGTACTAGGAACGGGGCATGTCAACAGATGCCGAACATTTCTCTCCATTCAATGAAAGGGAGATGGAAATTCACCTAAACAACGGATATCCGATATCGTTCCACAAGGGTTGTGTCGTGGTCTAGTGGATAACGCTTCGTTGTTTGAGGCTATGGCTGCTGGGTTCAAGTCCCGATGTGAACACCATGGCTGATACATCTACCTAATGAGTCCCAAGCAGGACGAGATGCTCATCCTGGATTCCACTGCTAGTTATTGTCCTCCAAATAACATGAAACCTATATCTTTTTATTTGAATTCATGCTTGTTTAATGGTCTGAGGTTAACAATGTTTTAAATTCTTCTAACCTTACAGCTGAAGAGTTTTCAAAAGCTCGTGATGAAATCAGCGAAAAACAAAAGCGTACTGAAGGTATTCTTGAACTGTTACATCAGTTGAATGAAAATCGTCTTAAATTTTGGCAGATTTGGGAGTTCCTTGCATCCGCTTTAATTAGTGAACGTTTAGCTGAAATGAATGTGGTTACACCGAATACCCTCTCGAACCAACAAAAACAACAGTCAACCTCATCATTAACTCCTCATTCTGCCAGTCGTCGGAGTACAAAAGCTGATTTGCCTGTCTCTGCTTCTACTAATAATACTACATCAAATAATAATAATAATAACAGTAATTCCCAATATGTAGTTACTATGGATACGCTCAAACTGAACACGTTTATTTCAAATCTTGATGCTTATAATGAATTAGATCAACTGTTTCATTTGCTTCATGAATATTGTAAGTTGATTTGTAGTAATGAATACTTAGTATATATTAATATCTTTTATAATAAATTACACTTGTAACTTATTTCTATCCGATATTATATAACAAATATGATAATCAGTAAGTACTAGACAGGTTTTCAACTGTTAGTTTGTAGAGATTTGATTGTTTTGAAGTTTGATCATTCATTAATACTAATTAGAGATCCCCATTAGTGTCATGGGTGCATTCTGTTGAAATGTCCTAAACTAGAACGAAACAGCTATTTAATGGTTCTTCTAAGTGATATCAATCCGTGGTGATTACTACCAATTGACTTGAAGCCTGTAATACTTTTCGCTATCCTGTAGGCTGTATTTTGTTACCAATCAACTTTAACTAGCTATCAGAGCTTGAGCAATACATTGTTAACACTAAGAAACCGTTGTACATCTGCTAAATTTTAGTAAACATACTCATGTTGTGTTTTTGTCTTTATTTGTGCATTGATGTTGTTTTTTTAAATTTTTATTTTAGATCATCGGTTGTCTTTCGCTCTCCTCAGTGGTCCGTCTTCCAATTTATCCCGAAGTGCCTCAGATGTTGATGGAAGTAAACGTCCTCAAACAAATCCAGTTAAAAAACACGAAACATTTAGTGCACATGATAATGTACCTGGTGAGAAATTTACATACACTTAAGCATATAATTTAATAGTTTATGACTTATTATGTTGATTTCCTGAGGTGTTTATCTTGATCTCTGACCAATTGACAAAACTGTCTAGCCTTAATTTGTTGCCACTTACTATATTCATCTATATTTTCTAATGGAATTCTGAATCTAATAGTCGTAGATGAATTATGAAGCTATTTCCAGAATACTTATCGTTCACTAGTTGTAAATTCAAGTTTCAAAGTCGTACAGTGTTACATTTGACACAATGATTTATTGAACTTTACGTTTATACGTGCTGTAAATGTCATCCAGGAAATAATTCTGTCTCCTCTTGTGATTATGATTTATCAGGTAAAAAAATACTGACAGATGGAATGGCATACTACTTCTTCCTATAGTGCTTACGTTTTACGCATATATTATTATTATTATTATTAGTGACAGAGAAATTTGATATGCAAATAAATCTCGGAGGATTTCTCAGCGAATACTTCCTATTTACATTTGACTGCATATTTATTCCCATCTATTCTATTTATGAAGTCACTTCAGACTCAGAAATAATCCGCATAACAGAAAAAAAACACGCAATGAATACCAGTAATAAATAAACTCCATAAAAAGTGTGAATAAGTTTACAAAACAGGTAGCAGAAATATCACATGGGAATAAGACTGAGCAAGTTTGCTTGTAAGAGAGCGAGCATTAAATTGCTCCTACAAGTACAACTTAACTGAATTAGGTTCGCAGAGAGGGTGGGAGGGAGGAGTGGTCATTGATATAAAGGGAGTTACTAGATGTAGTATACCAGTTTGTGCGATCAGTTAGCATATAACTATTACATTATCAGTAAATATGCAGACATCCATTTTTCAGTTCCTCGCCTTCTGAATGGAGCATAAAGTTTCAATCTTTTGAGGTTTCACCAGCAGTAGTTTTGCTAGCCTCATTCCCAACTCTAACGGCTATGCTACATTTAGGTGTGCATTAGTCGGGAATTGAACCTTGTGCCACGTGTGTAGTTGTCGAGTACTCTAGCATTGAATCACTGTCGCGTATATTGATTGTTTTTTTTCACCTTTTTTTAAGAAAAATGCAATTAAAAGTGTTCGGGATTTCTTTAAGATGCATATTCTCTATTCATTTTGTTTCGAAATTCAAAATTTCTATCAGATATCATGAGTATATTGGCTGAGTAGTCTGATAATCTAATGACAAAAATTGTTTCTAGCCTCAGTTGGCTTTGAATTTCATGTAAATTACTTTTTTTTCGTTGTTTACCATCGTTTGTTAATCTGTTTCATTCGTTTCTTTGTGTGTGTGTGTGTGTGACCATCACACAATTTATCACAACATAGCTGCTAATATGAGAGATTCAACAGGGTTGCAGGTAGGTTTTTATGAAATCATGAAATATGTAGATTTTCAATGGTATTTGTGTGTATAGGAAAAAGACTAATGCATACCTATCCACCAACTTATCTATATCCTTCCTTTTTTGACTTTTTTCACTATTGTTATTTATAGAAGGAAGTATAGAGGAATTCTTAACCGAACGTAAGCAAATAAATATATAGATAGATATATATACACTAGGAAACTTTGAAGCGCATCATCTAGCCGTCTAACTTTTACTGCCTTTAGCCATTTTGTATAGACTAACCATTCGTCCAGCAAGTAGTGTGTGTAATTGTGTGTAATAATAGAGAACATCTTTTTTTCCTTGGCTTTTCCTTTCGCTATTACATTCCACAGAAATACTCAATCAGTTAACTGCTGCTAATCTATGTATGTAGTTTGGCTAGTTAGTGTAAACGTATACTGTTTTTTTCCATTATATGAAAATGGGATAGTAATGATCCAAATTCGAAAGTTAAATAAAAAAGACTGCGGGAAGACAAAAATTGGACTCCGGTAAATTTCATTCGGATAATTAGATTTCTTTGAGATTCCTATACAAAAAAACAAAACAATAACAATAGTAAAGTACTCCTTCAAACGATTGAGATCAGTTGTCAATGGGACTAACTCGAATTATTACCTACCTAATCAATAATTTCGTTGTGTTTTTTCTTTGATAATAATAACGTAATAGATTGCTTTTATAACGTCAATTTTAAGTCAACCTTTTTTATTAACTTTGTAAATTATCAATATAGAGGAGTGTGTTTTTGCTAATTTAAATTAGTTTGGTGCGCTGTCTAACTGACTATCTATTTTCTTATAGAGGTTTGCCGACACATACATTTCTAGTTAAAACTTTTTGAAGTATTTAAACAAAGGCAAAAGCAAGTGTTTGTGCAGAATAATATGAGGCCATTATTTATTTCGTCGTCAGATTCTCTTCAGCTACTTACAACCTAAAAGTTGATTATGTAAATGTACAAAGAATTTTGTCATACTTGCATCAAGGATCAATTTGATTTTTGTTAACAGAGACAAATGTTTATAAATTCCATTTATAATATCACCGATGAAGGAGGTCAAATTACAAACATGCAAAATTATTGGTTGGTTACATTTAAAATCGAGTTGCACACTCAAGAAAACATGAGAGAATTCGACGATGAATAGTTGGCTAGTTTAACTCAAGTCATTAAAACAAAAGGAACTGAAATATACTAAGGCAAAAGTAGGAGGGAGGGTTGAAAGCAAAAGACTGCGTAACCAACTGAGACAAAGAGAAGAGACGTTCAAGAAATCAAGGCAAAGAAAGACTAATAAGTGAATCAGTCAGGTTTTATACGTTTAATAGCTATTGCTTAGGCAAATTTGAGGGCGATTGAGTTGTACTGTCTATTAATAATCTTGAAGGATTTCATGCTGTCTACCTCATGGCCCATATCAACAAGATGTCTAGCAATAGTACTGTTCAAAGCTTTTGTTCTCTTGAGACGCAAACTTTTTGGTACATGTTCAAAGAAGTAGTTCGGTATATATGTAATAGGTGATGATTGAAGGGGAAATGAAAATCTCAGTCTCAGCAATATTTCAACTAACAGCCTCCAAACTACTAGTCCAGAGCTTTCCCAGCTGAGCTATGAGACCTAACTGCAACTGGGTCATTATTCACTCTAGTCACCACGAGTAGTGTTCTGTAGTCTTGTTAATTAATGATAAACGACTATGTGTTTGTTATCACACTAGCTGCCCAGTTACGCCTTTTTTCAATTTTAATCATACTCACTTCCTTGGAAAGGTGGTGCAGTTATTTGAAATAACATTGGGGTGGAAGACTGGTGTAATTGGGTGACAGTTGAAGATAGAATAAAAGCTCCTATATTATTATGCTATCTGCTGGTTCAAATCCTGCCGTAACCCGAGCTTTCATTTCACCTTCATTATTTCTAGTTTAACCCAAGTGTGGTCTGGAGAGAGTTTCTCCTGGTTGGTCTTATGGTGAATGTCTATGATATTCATTGTTTTTGAATTTATTTCTTCGAAAGATCTTTTAGAGGTATTTAACTAATCTTCGACAGGAGCATGATTCCTCGCAAGAACTGGCGAGGAATCATGCTCCTGTCGACGCCAAGTAAAATCCTGAGTCGCATCATCCTGGAGAGAATCAAGGACGCGTTGGATACAGAACTCCGACCAGAACAAGCTGGATTCAGGAAAGGCAAATCATGTTCTGACCAAATTGCAACTCTACGCATTATCATCGAACAAAGCATGGAATGGCAATCAAATCTCTACCTCAACTTCATAGACTTTGAGAAGGCCTTCGACAGCGTTGACCGCGAAGTAATTTGGAAACTACTCGAGTACTACGGCGTACCCCAAATATTCATCAACCTTATTCAACAACTGTACGACAACGGCACATGTCAAGTGATCCACAACGGAAAACTCAGCGAAGCGTTTGGAGTAAACACAGGAGTCAGACAAGGGTGCTTATTATCACCAATGATATTCCTAATTGTGGTGGACTGGATTATGCGTCAGACAGTGGGAAACGAGAAGACAGGGATATCCTGGACCGACGTCTTGAACCTGGAAGACCTGGATTTTGCGCGTGGATGGTTTATGTTTGATGTCACACAAAATCGAAGACTTACAAGCAAAAACCGACAAACTGGTCGAAGAAGCAGCAAAGACGGGACTCCAGGTGAACATAGACAAGACGGAGGTTATGAAAATAACCAACCAACAACAGCAGCAACATCCAGTGCCAATCACCATCAACGGGAGGGATTTGAAAGAGGTTACTTCTTTCACTTATCTGGGGAGCATTGTCTCAACCATAGGAGGAACGGACGAGGATGTCAAATCGAGAATCGGGAAGGCGAGAAACACATTCATCAACCTGAAACCAATCTGGAAATCTTCGTCACTCACCATCAACAACAAAATTCGGATTTTCAATACAAACGTCAAGTCAATTTTGCTTTACGGATCAGAAACTTGGCGGGTCACAAAGAATATTTTCAACAGGTTGCAGACCTTTATCAACAACTGTCTTCGCTCCATACTGAAGATCAGATGGCCAGAAAGAATCACAAACAAGAAGCTATGGGAACAAACGAAACAGGAACCAATCGCCCAACAAATATGCAGGAGGAAGTGGAGATGGATTGGACACTCGCTGAGGAGGCCGTCGAGTGACATCGCGCGTCAGGACAGTGCTCGAGTGGAACCCGAAAGGGAAGCGGCGAGTGGGACGTCCAAGGGTGACATGGAGGAGATCGTGTGAGGAGGAGATGAAACAGTATGGAACAACATGGACGCAAGTGAAAAGAACAGCAGAAGACAGAAGCAAGTGGAGACGTGCAGTTGAAGCCCTATGTTCCACTAGGAACCCAAGGGAACAATAATAATAATAATAACTAATCTTCAGCTATCACAGAAACAAACTTAACCTGTTCCATAAGAATTTTGTATGCAATTTATTTTTTCTTCCTTCGCTACAATCATATTGTAAAGGGTTCATATATATATATATATAATGTAATCTGTATATGATGGGTAACTATTTGTCTATGATAAAACAGAGGAGATGAAGATACGTAACCAGCAAGAAGAAGCATCAGCCACTATCAAAAGGAGAATTTTTCACTGATCACTTATCTAAACAGCATCTCTTCAAAAAATACAGGTGACATGGATGAGGATGTCAACGACAATATTGGAAAAGCAAAACAGAACTTCATTACTCTGAAATGCAACAGCCGACTGCGAACTTTCGTTAAACACCTTATTCACTCGATACTGAATATCGAATGACCATAAAGGCAAGCAACAAGGAGTTCTGACAACAAACCAACCAAGAACCTGTCAACCGAAAAATATATTGATGGATAGGATATACATTGAGGAGACCGTTGAGTGAAATCACACAAAGCAAGCACTCAAGTGGGGCCCGAATCGAGAAAGAAGAGTTAGGAGTGGTTCCGAGGGTGAGAAGGAGTAGATTGAAGCCTATGGGCAATCATAGAGGTCTCTAAAAAGGGGATTATAGATAACACGATGAAATGGAGATGTGATTCTGAAGCCCTGTGTTCCTTTGGGAATCCATGGGAATAACAATAATATAATTTGTCTATGGTGATCATATATCACTGATATTATTTTAATCCAAATCTTTTCACTGCTCAAGCATCATTTCACCTTCAGTCGTCTCTCAACTAACACTAATGTTACATCACTCTTACTGATATTCTCCTATTATCTTTTAAAAGAAAACTTCTTTTCGTGTTCAGCTTTGTTGACAAGTTATAAAAAGTTTTATCTATCTAATTTTATCCGTTTGTCATCCGTGCTATCCTGCTTCACCTCGCTGATTATTTCATCGATGCTTTTATAGGCTTTGAATTCAGCTCTAGTGAACTTTATTAACACAGCATATATTTAAAATGAGAATTAATCGAAACAAACCTCATTAATCTAAATTTCAGTTAATTATTATTCGTTAGGCTTGTCGACTCTTACTCGTTTACATGATTTTCAGTTTGTGTAGGTAGGCTACACTCCTCTATGATCAGATTTTCCTGATTGTATTATTTTACATGACTTCTAGTCAGTTATGAGCGATTCTTTAAACTACCTAGATTTTGACGTAATCATTACGTATACACAAGCGTAATATAAATTACATTACGTTGTATAGAAACACTGTCATGTGTTTATAAAACACAATGTAATTCCTTGACAATTCGATTCATACTCTTGGAAAAAGAGGCTGTTAGTTCTTGTATATTGTTTTTTTTGTTTTTTCTCTGTTGAAATTTCTCACGTATCTCCATACCTTTCATGAAATATGCGTAAATAACAGAGAAATCATTTTTCTCACTAAATCGATCATTGTTATTGGAGTTTTTCTTCTCCTCTCTTTCCCCCCCCCCTTGAATTCACTAAATTTCTTTGTGTGTTTGTGCGTAATAATGCTGCAGTTTAACAGTCTGCACTTTTGTTTTCCTTTAAATCTGGTGAACAGAAATATTTTTTCCTTCTACAATGGAGAAAGAATTTCAGGTGGGGTGGTGTCTTCTTTTTCGAGGTGATGAATAGCATTATGTAAAGCATAAAACAGTGAAATGGAAAAATATCTTAGGACTGATTTTTCATCACAGACACAATTGTTGGTTTATTACTATTATTAGTAGTTAGTAGCATAGTAATTATTCACAGATGACATTTAATAGTCCACAGGAATATTTCATTCGGACAGATGTTACTGTTGTTGTTGTTATTATTGTTAGCCTAGTGTCTTTCCCTTCTCCTTGTCTCAGTCAGTACACACGCATTTCATGCATTTTTCATTCGCCTTTTTTGTTATTGTTATTATTGTTGTTGTCGTCGTGGTCAATGTACAATAAACTCTGTGAAATTTCTTTCCCTGACTGACAATGTTTGTGTAACTCATCAACTACGTCATACTGTATATAATTGCTTTGCTTAATACTCATTTATGTCTTAATTAAAGGGGAAAATAATAATTATCCTTTTGTTTAACCAACTATTTCATTTTTTTGCGTTAATTAGTGCGCTACCCTACTGCGTTCACCCATATATGGAAAAGAGAAATGGTGTAGTGCCCATAAGGCCATACATCACATTTCATTATGTCTGTCTCACCTTTGAAATGAATATGCTTTATAATCATTGAATAAATTATTCTCTAGATTGCAATAAATTCCTGTGGCTAGCGCCTGACTTTAAACCAATGAATACCGGGTTCGAATCTCACTCCACTAACTTCATCCTCGGCAGTTGGATAGTATGTTCACATTATACTTATATTTTTTGCTTCTCACTTCTTGTTTCTGCTGTACTTTTCACCTGCATCCATGTTATTCCATGCTGTTTTCTCTCATGATCTCCTCATGTCACCCTTGGACGTCCCACTCGCCGCTTCCCTTTCGGGTTCCACTCGAGGGCCTGACGCGCAATGTTCCCAGCGCCTCCTCACGTGTTCCTTCCATTCATTATACTTATATTTATTCCTTTACGTTCCCAGTGGAATATAGAGCTTCAAGCTAGAGCCTTGAAGTTTCGGTAGCAGCGATGTTTATTTTTAAAGGATGGGGTTGCTAGCCGCGTGCTCAACCTTCCCTCTTTACCAGTCTTATTACTGGCGTAAAGAGGTTAAGGAGTTCGTCGGACGGGGATTAAACGCCGGACCACATGCGTGGTCGGCGAGCATTCTACCGTTGTACCACCGGTGCGTATGCTCATATAATAAGTGTGACTCAAAGACATCGGTACATGAGGAAACTGTTACTGTTCATTGCATTCTAATCAATAAATAAATAATGATATCAGCACTAAAGATCTTGTCTAGAGAAACAATGAACCATCTCAGAGAACACAATTATAACAGTATAACTATTTGTATTGCTTCTTGTTAATAAACGTTTTAAGTCTAACCAGTTCTTTGTTCAATGGGTTAAACATTTTTATTTCAATATTTTGAATACGCATAACTAAGAAAAGAGGATATGAGTGAGTAGTGAAACAAACCAACAAACCTTTTTTTCGTAATTCTTTTTAATTTTTGTGTATTCCATTAATTTAGAATGTATCTGCTTTGATTATGGGTTTGTGATTAAATTTCCTTTTTGGGGTTCTTTATTCTTTCTTTACATTATTATAGTATCTACTGAATTAAGATCTTCAATTGATGTTGGCCATATGAAGTCGAAAAAAGTGAGTTTTTCAAGTTATTTACATTCATACCTTTTAAGTAGAGTTGGCCATATCTATCAGTTTGCTTATGTGTTCAACCTATAGACCCATCAGTGCATAAAATAAGTGGTGATAACTCTTTTTGCTTTCAAATTATTATTATTATATTTCTGCATAGGTAACTCAGTCACGTCTCTATATATATGTGGAAGTGTCAAGTCTTTTGAGTTATTTTGTGTTTCTCTTTGATTGCATTCGTAATGGACCAAAATACTCGGTCTCTTCTGACATGTCAGCTTCTAGCACAAATACTCCGGTGGTGTTTGAAGCTTGACATGTTTTTTTATTTAGTTGATAACGTTTGAAACGAACGGTTGTTGGTTCTGAGTTTCAGTGGGAACACAGGCATTTACTGGAGATGTAGGTGCATCCAGATGACGAGTTTCACACAGGACGAATTGGGCCTCCTGGATTTCACTGGTAACCAACATCAATTAAATAAAATTAAGTGACAAGTTTATTCAACTGATAGACTAAATTAATGGTGAATTCACTCTTATATCATTCGATGGGATCAATTATATGTTTAAATGATCACTAAGTATTATCATATCCTATGTAGTGAATCAATCGAATTCGTTCAGTGTTTGCTATGAAAAAAATTTTAGTTCTGTTTTATAGATCCAATGACTGGCTTCCTTATGAGAGATTATGTTAAGACCGTATATCAATGAGATAACGCTTAGAATAGTCTTAAGTTTCAAATACGTAAACATTTCATCCATTTCGTTACGTAAGTCAGAAAGGGGATATTATTTATAGATTTTACCCAAGTATGAAAGGTTTGACTGAAATATATGTCAATCTGGTGACCAGTGTGATGACCAAAACCCAAGTATTTCAGTGTAAACACAAAGGACAAATCTATGCGTTCTTCTGTTTAGCTTACCAAACTTCCCCGAGTGATGCATAGCTCAAAATAATATTCCAGCAGTATCAAAACACGATTTAACGTGAATAATAATAATAATAATTTATACGAAGAATAGAAAACCACGTCAATAATGCCACCCATCAGCTATACGGTCCGAAAGTTTCTCAGGTACAAAATACACACAATAAAATTAATCTACCAAATACAATCTTAAATTATCTTAGTATGAATAAGAATATTCTCCACCAGGTGAGATCAAAACTATGTTTGCAAGATTAAAGCTGAACAGAACACTATTCGCACAGAGTCTTTCTGTCAGGCGGTCACTGCATGATGTAACCTTGATTCCACTCAAACAAAACCTCATCATTATCACACAACAGCAAAGGTGAATAATAAGGACTAATTCAAAAGACGATATACAGGCAAAGGGGAAAGAGTAATAATTATAAAATTAGTTTTTTCAAGTGTTGATTTGTAGGGATTCGATTTGTTTTTCAGGTTTCACCACAGATTGATATCAGTTAAAGAACCATTGAAAACCAGAGAAGGTTGGACAGCTGTTTCATCGTAATTAGGGAATCATTGGCAGTACACACTCGAAAAATAAATCAAATCCTTACAAATCAACTCTTGAAAATTAATCTGATGCTCGCTAGTGACTGACTACTGGACAGAGTTTCCTGGAGTTCTAGTGTGGAGTCGTAACCAGTGGGGTCCATTCTGTCGGAAGCGACGACAAATGCTCGCCGATGACATTGGCTGGTGATCGCACTAAAATTACGAATCGGTAGAAGTTAGAATTCATGGACAGCCATTGAATCGGGTCCCAGTGGCTGAATGGTCTACGACCTTACGTTGTTAAGCGCAAGGTCCTGGGTTCAAAACCCAGTGGTCCCAAACTAGGATGAAACAGCTGTTCAGTACTCTCTGGTTTTCAATGGTTCTCTGATTGATATCAATCCGTGGGCAAACTTGAGAAATAAAATTAGTTGAAGTATTCAAATAAATATCAGTATGACTAACGGATTGTTCATAGAAGGATTTTCAGATCAATTATTCAGCTACAATTAGTATATTAAATCTTCAGTAATTACCACTGAGTTTTCTAGTCAACTGAACAAGGTATTCGTTGTAATCTCAGCATTGTGAACATAAAAAGAAACACCAGTATCATCATGTTAGAATTTGTAGTATCAAATGATTTCTGTAAGTTAGTCAAATGATAAACTAGGGTAAGTCTAACAATTTTCCTTGGTCAATTTCATGTGTGAGTGTGTGTGTGTGTGTTAGTATTCTGTTACTCTTGCATTCCTTCAATTATCCTTCTGTTTGTTTTTTTATTATAGAGAGATGTTCATCGACTTAGCGCCACTATGGCCAGTATATTTCGTACTCCTAGTCGAGATAAAAATTTGTCCTCAACAAGCCAATCATCTACTGATCATACATCGAATGGAACTTGTACAAATACACCAGGAGGGCTTAAAAGTATGAAACAACGTCAACCCGGGTCAACTACACCATCACAATCAAGTGGTCCACCTCTTCCTCCGCGTCCATCATTCGCAGTGCTAAGTAATTTAAATCTAACTGGAGTTGGCGAACAACTTTCACCAACGAATCAGTGTTCATTCAATACAGAATCTTTAACAGATGGAACAAATCCATTAGTATTAAGTCAACCGTGTGCTGAAGCATTAGTATTACTTGGTGAATTAAATAGAATTGGTGAAGCACTTTTTGTAAGTTCCACTATTATTTCTTCTTCATATCAACACATTTCACCATTATAATAATGTTGGGTAAATTTCTTAAACCTATTCATTACTAATAATTTTATTATTATGATTCGCATGGGTTCCCGAAGAGACATAGGGCTTCAGAAGCACATCCTTATTCCATCCTTTTATCCTCTTTAGCGGCCTCTATGATTGCCCATAGGGTTCAATCTGGTCCTTCTGACCCTCGGAATCACTCCTAACTCGTCTTTCTCCATTCGGATTTCACTTAATTGCTTGCTTTGTATCTGATTTCACTCAACGGACTCCTCATTGTGTATCCAATCCATCTCCATTTCCTACAATATATTTGTTGGGTGACGGGTTCTTGGTTGGTTTATTTTCAGCGTTTCTTGTTGCTTATCTTTTCTAGAGGGTGGGTCATCTGATAATCAGTGCAGAGCAAATGTAGGTGTCGACGAAAGTCTGCAGGAACCTGTTGGAAATGCTTATCTTGACGCGTGTTTTGATTCCCTCAACTGTATTGAAGCACTGGCTCGACATTCGTGTTGAAGATCCAGATCTTGTCCTATATACTGAATACGGCAGATCCCCATGCTGATTTTTGATTAATGAAGTTTTTTCGTGGTTGTCTTTGACATCCTTATCGGCACCACCTGTAGTTGAAATGATCCTGTCTAGATAAATGAAAGAAGTGACTTCCGTGAAATATCTCCCGTTGATAGTGATTGATACTTGCTGTTGTTGTTGTTCGTTGGGTATGTTCATTAACTCTGTCTTCTTTATTTTCACTTGAATTCTTGTCTTCACTGCCTTTTCTGATAACTTCTTCGTTTTTGCTTGTAGCTATTTAAGTTTGTGTGACAGTGGACGTAAATCATCCGCAGAGCTCAGGTTTTCTAGAGTATTCTTAGCGGTGCAATGTAAGCTTGTCTTCTTGCTTCCAGTTCACCACAATCAAGAATATCATCGAGGATAGTAGACAGTCTTGTCTTATTCCTATCTTCATTTCAAAGGCTTCGCTAAGCTTTCTGTTGTGAATCACTTGGCATGTGTCGTCAACATATAGCTGTTGAATGAGGCTTATAAAAGCTTGGCGCACTCTGCAGTGTTGAAGCAGTTTCCAAATTACTTCATGCTCGACGCCATCGAAGGCTTCTTTTAAGTCGATGAATTGGAGGTAGAGATTTGACTCTCATTCTGTGCTGTGTTCGATGATGATACACTATATTTAATATAGTCTCAAAAATCTAAAGTAGTTTGATAATAGGTTACCATGCTTCTATGGGAACTTTGACCGTATTAAACCTTATGCTTTATGAAATCATGGGTTCATACTGCTTAGTATTCAAATACTATAATGAAACGGTGACTTTCTTTTACTATTATTTAATCATTATGAAAGCTACAATGAATATACAACTGTTTTCGATTTGTTCTTGTTAGATTAATTTCGATAAATGCCAATGTAAATTTCGTTACTAACTGACATTAATTAAAGAATCATTGGAAACCTTAGATCACTTGACAGCTGTTTCGTCGTATTATGGGACTCTTCAGGGTTTTAACCCTGGTTGGATCACAGGTGTGCACTGCTTGAGAGTCCCTAACGAGGAGAAAACAGGTGTCTAGTGATGACGTTGGTTTGTAGCGAAATGTACATTGAAATTATTTACTTAACTGATAATATAATGGTTTAGCTACATTCAAAAGAATATCATTTGATACCTGCAAATAGACTCCCTTCATATTAAGCTCAGTGTCATTAAGACCTGTTAATTTTACCAAGATATTTGTATCCATTGAATTTCTAAGTTCTTTCGTGTTTTCGTCATTACAAACTTGAATTTGTCACTTTAGACAGTTCAAAGAAATGAACGAAATATTCCCATATTAAGTCATAAGAAAAAGGCGTAAACAGCGAAGAAAATTTTCTTTTCGACGATTTATTTTCACAAGCTGTACAATCGTAATTATATTTAAGAAAGAAATCATTAGACCAATCAGATACTGGTAAACTTTGCCCTTGGAAAACGTACTGCGTAATGTAAGGTGTAACCTAGATGGGGTGACTAATTGTAAGTTGGAAAAGAGGCAGAAGTTGACATGACTTAATAAGTGTGAGATAATGACTAATCAATTAACTCGTGTAGAATGGACAGGAACTAGTGGAAAGGCGATAAAGTGTTTTTATATAAAATCTGTATGAAAAAGCAATGTTATTAATAAACAATAATTGAGTGGATGGGAATAATAATGATAATAAAATGATAGTAGTAATAGCAATAATAATAGTAAACTTACATAATAAAAAGAATAAGCAAAATTATAGTAAGAACTTTACTCTGGCCACGGTAGGGCAAGTGATTGTATGTAGCGCTTTTGAATGCAGAGGTCCGGTTTTAGATCTCGAATAGCGAATGCTTCAGCTATGTACAGATGGTGTATGTGAAGTCCCTTTGTACGATATTGATGGACTCTGTATAGCACTGTGAAGCATTCATGCGGTGGTACTCGATGTCTGGAGATGATAAGGTGTTCGAGGATAGAGCTGCTACTATTCTTTTTTTCTCCTCTGGTTGGCTAACCAAGCTGGAAAACGTTCTAGAATACGTTTGTGGACTTGACGTTGCGTACGGCCGATAGACTTTGCTCCACACGAGCAAGTAAATTGATAAATACACATTAAAGTGGCCAAAAGCGGTATCTTATCCTTAACGTTAGACTGGATTAACTGTCTGCTGGAGATTGTGATACGTAAAGTGGCTGTTGGAATTGTCTTCTTCAGACATTTAGAAAGGTGAATTCTAAGAATTTCTGCTGTGATGTTACCTTTGAATTCCAGGTTCATAAATAGAGTTTTCTTATTAACAGTTGCGATATTTAACGACGGAGGCTTCTCTTTCATGTTTTTGTTGATGAATCTTGGTGGATACCGGTTCTCTAGTAGGGTTTCACGTAATAAATTTAATTCTTTCTCTATCATGTCTTGCGAGCAGATTTTTCTAATTATTGAACTTAATGTACGTACCAGGTTTCGCTTTCGGATCAGTGGGATGAAGCTCTGGAAGTTGATAAACTGTCCCGATATGTCGATATGCGATGTCTTGTCAAAGAAAAGTTATTATATAACTCAGTAACATCGCCAGCTGAAGGTGATGTTAGAGAACAAAGTTCAGTGGAGACGTCCCACTGAAACCCTTGGCACTCAAAGAATGAATAATGATAATAGCTGCTTTTTCTAATTTTCCCTATAAACGTATTGATTAGTCTTTGATTTTTGCGCCTCTTCAGTAGAGCTGTTTAAATAAACTACATATTCTGATGATTAAAGTTCACGCCCAAAAAACTATTTTTGAATACATTTCTTGTTGATTTATTAAAGAGACGTTTCTATATATATTCACACTGGTTTAGCCACAAGTACAATTGTTACGTACTGAAAATGTAGAATTACGTGCATCTCTCACTAAACTGGAAGCTGAACGATCGAATTGGGAACATTTTCGTAGTCGAGATAATCAAGTACTTATGCGTTCTACACTTGGTGGTGGTGCATCATCATCGTCACAGGGGAGTGGATCTCACCCAGATGGTAATACTGGAGGTAGCAGTGGGGTTTATCTAATTGACAATAGTACAGTTAAACAAGAAACGGAAAAATTACGTCAAGATTATGAAAATTTTACACGTAAATGTCATGAATGGGAGAAAGAATATCAGAAACAACGATCTGCCATCGAGAGAGAACATAATAAAATAGCTAAAGAAAGGCAACTGATAGAAAATGAACGTGCTGATTTGGAACGACGTCAACATCAGTATGAAGAGCTGCGTAGTACATTACAGACACAGCTAAATATGTACAAAAAATTGGGATTCAAACTAACGCCTATGAATAATCCAGGTATGTTATAAAAATGTGTAAATATTTTTAGATTGCTTTCTTTCCTGCTACTTAGTACTCCATTATCTATCTTATAACCTTTCAGACTTAGATTATTGTCTTTAGTTGTCACACAATGGTATTATAGCTTTCAAGTTGCAACCCTTTTCATTTCTGTCTCTTTTTGTGGGTTCTATTTGGTGATTAATCTTTCCTTTTGTCTTTGAGATTTGATTTCACTGTTGTTTTACTACACACCATAATATGCATAGTAATGGCTGAGTTTTTCACTAGGTTATCTATTGTCGTATGGTCGGTCTCATTCGCATTACTTTGATACCTTAACTAACTCAAATTGTCGACTTCAATATTTGTAACTGACACTGAAGTTCTTGCATAGACTAAGATAGTATACCTAACTTACCTTTCTATCTGAATGGTACTTTAATTTTGTTGTTTTTTAAACGGGTTCTAAAAAAGTTATGGTTAGTAAAACAATCTGCCAAAAAACAGAACTTTAATAAATTCTTAGGAAAGACAGCAGTAGCGTTTCAACGTACCTACAGTTTTCCACAATCATTGGTCTAAGCATTTCGCTGTCATCCCATTGATCCTGAGTTCAAATCCCGCTCCACCTGCTTCATCCTGGATAACTGGGTATTATCGTCAACCCTCACACAATAGGTATGGTTCATAGCCTGGTGTATGGTGAATGTGATTCTGTCAGCTGAGTTCAAACAAAAATAAGTTGTCCAACCCCGAACCTGATTGGAATATAGAAATCGACTCTTCAACTCTGCTGGTGGTTGCAACAGGTGTCTCCAAACTAAACGAAGTGAAGCATCAAGACTAGATAGTTTGTCTCCAAATGTATTTTAATATAGTGATAATGAATGACTATTGGTCAGTATTGTAGATTCTGAAATAATTCCATTGAACTTGTGTGCATCACTAATCATCCCAGTTTTTAGGAAGGGAAAGAAATACTCCTGTGACAAGCACATGGGGATCCTAACTTTCGTACAATTACGCAAACTGAATAAGGCTCGGGGAAAAAATACTCGATAAAAACCAGGTGTTTTCTAAAAAAATAATGAGAGTATGACAACTAAATTATCCAGCTCAGATAAATGACAGCACTAAAAAGTATAAAATGCTAAGCTGGGCACCTTCCTCGTGTACTTATGCATCCATGTATGAGCTTGCCTAGAGTTGTAGTCTAATATAGCGATAACCCAGTGGAATCCATCAGGAATGTTCATTGTTACAGTCCTTATTTGGTTTTATTAAAGCCATGCGTACTGAGTAACAGTTCTTTTTTTCCTACCTTATGGCTGTAATGCATAATCTCTGGAAAAGATTGGAGGTTTTTATCGTGCGATTTTTCAATCATTTGCTTGTGTTAAGTGGAAGCATACAATAAGTAGCAATGCAGTTAGACATAGTTTTAGGTAAGCAGGGTAGGTAAGTCGATACTATAAAGCTTCATGGATTGGGGTAGCTGAGACATATGCTACGCACATACCAAGCCACTGCTTTCTCTTATGAACAATATAGTCTGATGAACGACAAAGTTGTGTAAGATTTATGGATTTTCATGTCGAAACATGGCATTATTCAGCAAAGTTATTGACTGTCGATCTGAGCTATGGTTCAGTGGTCTTTGGTATGCTAAAAATCAATAATTGGGGACTCCTAGTAATGGCATAGATGTATTGACTTCTCTTCATCTTCTAGATCCTGAAAGACTTCATTAGGCTTCACTTAATTATTCTCAGAACCATTATCATCCTGTTTCTGGTTCTTTACGTTTTCTTTTTACCTTCTTGGGCTGATGCCTCTCGTCTTCAAAGGTCTATGTTCATTGATGCTTCAGTCACTTAGTTCAGTAAAGATATTTATTGAAAAACTTTAATTGGTCCTTATGACTCCAGTGTCAATCAAGGTGTTCAAATGAAGTAATGATGTATCTTACTGAAATTTATTTATTCTGTTCATAGTAAAAATAATAATAATATTTTTTCAGGCATAAATTACTTTTATCTTTATAGACCATCTAGTCTCTTCAAAAAACTATGGGCCACGATATAACTAATAATAATGATAGTAGTATCATTATTAATCTGTAGTCTCTTCACGTAAACATTTTTGTTAGCCTACAAGTCAATCATGCTTAAAGGCTGAAGTAAATAAATAAATATAGGCCAAAAGAATTTGCAAATCGTTTAATCAATCTGGGTAGTTAGGAGTATTTGTTTTCCCATACACATTTAGTTCATGATGGTAACAAATTGTCTACTCTTCTGCAAATACTGAATTGATACATTTTTATTTGTCATCTCTGAGGCATAGTTTCCTATGGAGAATGTGGTGGTCTACTGAACTGAATAGCTTAATCTCATCGAGTGGAATGGTTTCTAGACATTCCTAGTAGTATGTAGTGGTCATCAGAATAGTTTTTTTGAAAACAAAAGGCGGAATTCTAACCATCAGCTTATTAATTACTCAGGCAAGAGAACAGTAATTCGCCTGTGACATTTGCCTAGTGGTTGCGCTAAATGTCACGAATCGGCAGAAATTGGAATTTATGGGCGATTGGATCGGGTCATAGTGGCTGGAATGGTCTGCAAGCTCGCCTTGTAGGTGGAAGGTCCTAGTTTTGAACCCCACTGAGTGCACGCTGCTGAAGAGTCCCAAATCAGAACGGAACAGCTACACAGTATGTCCTGGTTTCCTTATGGTTCTCTAACTGATAGCGGTTCGTGATTAAACTTGTAACCAATCAAATTCCTGCAAACCAAAACTTGATATTACTTACTCGTTATTCTTCCTCTAAACTGAATAGTCATCACATTTTACCACTTCTGTGTTTATCTACCAATTTACGTGCTCCTTTGGATATTTAGGTCATTCAGTAAGTGTTTTATCTAAAGGAGTCAAGGAAGATTGTCACTCATGGCTGCAGAGAGACCATAAGGGATCAATATGGAGTGCTGTAATTGAGGATATATCGAACACTGGTTACTCAGTCTCTAAGGAAAACTCATTCACAGTTAACCTATAAAGTCAAAGGAAGCCACCCTCAAAAGGCGTTATGAACTGCAGAAGTTAACAACAGGCCTTTAGTAGTTCTTTGTTGTGTTTTAGGGTAAATGAGCACTAAATTTCAATAATCTAGAAATTTTTAAAAGATTTGAATCCAACTTCGTTTCATTGTTTCAATATCAACTTTAGTGTCACTTGATTGAATACTCTTTATCAACATGTTATTTATTGCTTACAGAATTGGAGGCTTTGGCCAATTTGGAGTCAGATATGAGTAATGATGGTGTAAATGGTTTTCAACTGAATCGTAGTAGCTCCTCTGTAATTACCAATTCATTTGACGATTATTTAAATGAATTATCTGGAAATACTGCTCACAATTCTAGTGGTCGAGGAGGAGGAGGAGGCGGTGATTTGCCACGGCCAATACACTTCTATTCAAATAGTGACGATATAACTGCTTCTAGACGAGATTCAAGTAATTCCTTTAATACTGGCCAGAAACGTGACTATGCGTATTCACCAGGTACTGAGATAACCCCAAAACCATCACTTGTACCGTCACTTTCAACACGAAGTGATCATGTGCCTGAACATCTACTTGGGAGTTTAGTAAATCAGGTAGGTATTTTTTTCCATAAATATGTACCTGCTTTTGTGTATTTTATTTATTGTTTTCTAAATAAAACGGATAATGTGTCAATGGTTTGATGGTAGAGTGCTCACCAGCCACTCTGAAATCCCTTTTTCGACACCCAGTTAGTACACACCTGAACCTTACATAACCGATAGTGAATGCAGGGAAGAGGAGATGTTAGGCGTGAGCTTCGTAACCCCATATTGTTAAAAACAAAAGTGGCACCACCGCTACTGTGTAACGGCGACCTGCTTAAATCACTGAACTACACTCTTACACTCTTCTTCATTTCTTATTGTTTTAATCATGCAATTATATCAAATGATCATTACATGAACTCGCGCACATATTCAATTAGCTTTCAACAAAATGTTGTGCAATTCTTGAAGGAAATGAAGAGAAAACGTACAGAATTGGTTCTGTCCTCATATGCAACAACGCTACATATCACATCGCATACTTCAGATTATTACTTTACATGTAAATCCTGTACGAAAACGAAATATTTTCGAACTAAATACGCTGAAAATTCGTTTACTATATGTTCACAAATAGTCTGAAATAAAGCTTTATTATTATATTATTACTTTTATGACTGCAACACAAAGACTTGAAGCCCTATGTTGCACTCGGAACGCAAGGAATGGAAAAAGTAATAAAAAGTACAGAAGAGAAAATGAAGTTAGATTGTGGAATCACAATTAGTCAGTGTTTCTGAATAGGTCGACTGACAGACAGACCCCACCTCATTGTCTTTTATAAGTATACATCGCTCAATAATACATTATTATTATTATTATTCATTCCTTGTATTTCGAGTGAAACAGAGGACTTCGGTGACAAATCTCCATTGTATTCTGTTTCCTGCCGTCGCTTTCAGCTGGCTACACGACTACCTACAAACTTTCACATGATCTCCTCAATATAACACTCGACACGCTGACTTGTTACTCCCCATTCGCGCTTAGAGTGTAATGTCATTTGCAGGTCACCTCAGAGTAAGTCCAATTCATCTGCACTTCCTTCTTCATATTTGCTGGGTATTAGGTTCGTGGCTAATTATCTGCCTGCAAGAACCCCTTGTTGCTTATCCTTTTGGAACATCTAATCTACAGTTACGAGCGGAGACAACCTTTGACGAGAGTCAGCAGCCTGTTCGGAATGCTTTTGATGACACGCACACTAATTCACTGAACCATAAAGAAACACTGAATTAACGGTAGTGTTAAAAATTCTGATCTTGTTCCTAATACTGAGCGTGTTGTAGATCCCCACACTGATTTCACAGTAGTGAACACCTGTCTTACTCTCCTGATCTTTGCTGGCCTTGAAATCCTCATTTCTACTGAAACTTCAAATCACTGGAAACGCATACGGCTTGCTTGTGAATTGGTAGAAATCGGAATTCATGAGTCGTTGGACTGGGTCACAGTGGCTGGGATGGTCCTACAGGCTCACCTTGTAATCAAGAGGTTCTGGGTTCGGACCCTGGTGGGTGCTGACTGCTGATGAGCCCCAGGCTAGGATGAAACAGTTGTCTAGTCCACCACGATTTTTCAATAGTTCTCTAACTGATGTCAGCTCGTGATCAAACCTGTAGTCAATGTAATCCGTGTTAACCATCGCTTGATAAATAAAACTTTGTCTTATCACTAACTTGTTTCATGGATTATTCTGTACATCGTTTTGATATCACTTGCGCATAATTGTTATTATGTTTGATTTTGATACCTTACTTTCTATTTCACAGAATAATATACGTGAACAGGTTTGTGCATATAAGTTATGCGTCTATATATTAACAGACTTTGGTTTGCAGTGATATTCCTAACATTTGCATAACATAACACCTAAATGCTATTAATACATTTTCCTGTTTATTAGTCATCAACCCAAACATACTTTATTTGGTGTTTTATGTAGCCATAATAAAATAAAGATCCTAGGGAAGAAATTCCTCCTTACTATTATTTTATTCTCATAGCTGTACAATATATGTGTGTCTATGACTTGAAATAGACAATAACAAGTACCTTCTGATGCGTTTTGTGTGTGTGTGTTCAAATTTGACAATAAGTGGAAACATTGAAGTAGGGTATTACTAATTTAGATGATTATGAATCACAAATTCATTAGGAATTTGAATAAATGAATGAAAGAATAACGAAAGGTCAACACAAAGTTCAATAGACATGAGTGTAAATACATGATAAGGCTAATTTTTGTTTTTATACAGGAAGACTATTTATACACATTCGGAAATGAAAAATGTGATTCTGCCAGTCTAATAGGTCAAATGTCATAAGATTAGTAAAATATTGTCAATAAAAATAAAATAAAGTGTTATAATTTGCTAACAAGACTGGAATAATAAAACAAAACTTATCGAAAGAGATTGTACAAATTGATTTTGATAGCGTTATTAGAAGACGGAGATTATCTGAAAAATGTGATGTATTTGCGCACGTGAGGGTGGGAGAGCACATCCCAAAATGTTTAGAAAAACAGATTAATTGTGACAAGCCAATAGATACAGGTGTCAGACTACCAACTTCGTCTATAGCCAAACATCTAATCGAGATGAACCATAAGATTGATGTTAACTCAGCCTTTAAGGTCATCTACAAAAACGGTCAAGGGCGTTTACTGAAATACACTGAGGCTATAACTATTCATAAACTTAAGTCCCCCTTGTGTATTCAAAAACAGTTTGTTATTACTCTTAACCTACCTTGGTAACCCTTATTTGATTGGATTACCAAACGTTTGTGTTAATTATTCTTAATTCTCTTTTTTTGCCACTTTGTTTAATGTAACTTTTCCATATATATTGACTTGACAAGTAAATGTGTGATCAGATTGTTGGAAATGTATAGCGCAAATGCATCAAAATTTTCAGATAATCTCCGTCTTCTAATAACGCTATCAAAATTTATAAAAGGGACTAATTGTTTTAAACTAATTGATTTGTATGCAAAGTTCCAGCTTTAAGTTGTGTATTATTAAGACTTCCGCTATTCAAAGCAAGTGCACTTGTTCACCTTTTTATTGAAAATTTATCGAACTTTGTAAACGGTGTTAAAAGATGAATCAGAAGCTTTGTGGACCCTACCTGCTACTTGTTATAATATAGATAAATTTTATACCTCTATGCTCTCCTTTGCTGAGCTAAGCTTTCGGACGTGGTGGGATATGTTTCTCGATGGACGTCCTTTGTCCCTATCTGCTCAAGAGCACATGGAATCAGACAATTGCGGTAACATTTCCTTAATGTTAAGGTGCACTAGTGGACGACTTAAGCAAGTTATTTGTAGAATGACAGGAATTTGTGAATTGTAATCACCGTAACCATTAGCATTCATTCTCAAATTTTAAGGTACAAGAAATGATTTTACAGTTATGTGCATAAGATCATCGTCAAGAGAATTTTCTTCTCTGAAATTTTTGTTTTGTCTCAATGGGGTTATTAAGTTTTGTATTTATAATAGTTGCTATACCCCTAACTGGTGAAAACGTGTTAAATGACTAGCAGTCTAAACATTTTTTTCAGTCCGAAAGTTTATTTTAACATACAGTGCTAACTAGGAAGCCTAATATATTATATAAGTAAAATTTGGACATTGTGGTAGTACATAATTCCATATCAGTTTGTTTATTGGATATGTCACATGCAGTGAAATAGTACTATTCACTAGATGACGAAGTTCTGAGCACAATTTATTGTTCGTATTCGTATCAATGGGAAATGCGCAACTTCGAAAGTTGGTTTTTATAATTCTCTCTCTCTCGCTTCCCATTTGTTGTAAAGGTAGTGGAATTTTCCAGATGTCCAGGTGGACAAGTGTTAAATCATTTCCACTACGTGGATTTACATTTGATTAGATAAATAGAGCTTCACTTATTAAACTCTCCCTCCACCATTTTACATTAGATTTTTTAAGACTGTCATCTTATTTCATCCTATTGTATGGTTGCGTGCAACTGCATGTAGTGTTGCAGCTGACCTGTTTTTTGAAGCTTCAGTCAATCAAATGTTCGTTGAGAAATGTTAACACTGAGGTTTTCTGATAGCAAAGGCGGCTCCTCTTCTTTATATACCTATGATTAAAATCGATGAATTGCCATACGTGTAAGAAGTGATCTCCGTTGTTTTTTCTAACCAAATACCGAAAGATGAGTAGTGAAATATGTGACACAATATCGTGGTGCATGTTTAGTATAAAATGCGTGTGGTGCTAGAGACTTTATTTAAAATGAGCTGTCCTTTCATGCATGATGTGCCACGTCAATTTATATCTGTGAAAAGTCTTTTGAGGATTTAAAAATCCATTACGTCATCCTCGTTACTGCGTATATTTTCTTATCTTCTAAGCCCGGACTGTTCTGTTTTGACAGTATTACAGGATATAACCATCATTATTCATCTGACAACCAACTAATGCCTCTTACATAATCAGTTTTCCATCTTTATTGCTGTTGATTTATAGTGTAAGGCCACTACTCAGCTCTTTTATCTATTTCCTGCGATTAAATTATTGATATTTTAAGTACGCACAAGATAGTTTCCGCTGACTTGTTAACAGATACCAGCTTACATATCTGCACAGTCTATAACCAAATGTTGCCTATTTTATCAGTGTTATGGACTACATCAGTTGGTCATTGCTGACAGTAAGCATAATAATCTCCTTCGAATTCAGTGGTGCACTAGTGTGTATATATGTATTTTACTAACTTAAGATTCTATCCTGAGCACCACATAAGCTTAAATTTCAAATTATTTCTAGAATAGCTGACTGGTGTGTTTTCAAATGATGTATCTCCATTATCGCTAAATTTTTACAAGTAATATATTTCTTCAATTAGTTGTGTTCTCTGAGCTGACTGATTTAATTGAGAAGCTTTCGTCGTCCTCTTGGACAACATCTTCAACGAAGGTTTTAGTATATTTCTGCCGACTTAAATAAAGTTGGATCTGGCCATAGTGAAACTTCAAATAATTTACCCTTAGTTTGAATGTACCTGTTAAGGAAATACTAGTTTTTTTAATCTACAGTCTTCAGAATTTTCTTGCTTTAAACACATGTTAGATTTAATTCAATTTTAGATTTTCCCGTCGATTGATTGCACCGAAGTGATAGGTCTCAGGTTGACTTGTCGGCTCCTTGTGCAGAAGCTTCGACGATGTCTGGTCATGTAACTTGAAGTTAGTTGGTGGACGGTGACTAACAGTGGAATCCAGGATGCGCATTTCGTCCTGTTTGAGACTCGTCATCTGGATGTACCTGCATTCCCCAGTGACTGATAGCGTCTCCACCGAGTCTCGAACCCAGTGCCCATAGTCTCAAACTCCAAAGCGTTATCGATTGACGGGAAAATCTAAATTGAATTAAATATTTGGTAAAACACATTGCACAAGAGGCGGCTCTCGTGGACCAAGTGGTCTAGTGGATAACGCTTTTGCGCTTGAGACTATGGGCACTGGGTTTGAGCCTTGGTGGAGACACCATCACTCACTGGGGGGGTGCAGGTACATCTAACTGACGAGTCCTAAATATGACGAAATGCCCGTCTTGGATTCCACCCTTAGTCAGATGTTAGATATCTGAATTTAAGATTGACTATTTAGGGTTGAATTTACCGTAATATTTGATAAGTTGAATGTAATGCATGCGGTGGACAACTTTTCTGTAGTGTAATTAGATCTTAGTTTTCTGTTTCTTCATTCCGTTTATTCTAAGTGCATCAGTAATACTTTTCACTAACCCTATGGTTGTTAAACTTGCCAATTAATTTTACTAATTGCTATCTTGTTTTGGTATTTTGAAGCTGTTGGTGAGTGGAATGTTACTAACCATATGTTTACCCCGTGTGCCACTCTATCCAGTTTCTTGATACTTTTATGAAGCATCCTATCACATAAGTCAGCCTAAATATCACAGATGTGGAAAATGAAAATAGTTGACTGACAGTCACAGTCTCCGCCTAATTACAATTTGTGATAGAGATATTTTTTACTTGTATTTATTGAGTTATTAAAAGTATTCTTTTTTGCAGTTCCCGTAACCTCAGTTGCATATTGTAGTCGAGCATCTCTAAGCATGAGAGACCGTATATGTTGGTAGATTGATGAACACCTTGTATTGATATGCACTCGCCTTTTTTGTCATTATAGTTTGTGCTGAAGATCGAAAACCATCAAGGATTAATTAGTTCAAACTACGTTATTTCAGGAATACAATTATTGAGGGCTAATGACGCTACCTAATTGTGCACGCTAAATTAGGTATGACTCGATCTAAACATGGAGCCCAGTGGCTGAAGACCAAGTGCGAAACTTTAAATTATATTTTCGTTCATATTTGAAAATTTTAGGGTAAAGCTAACGTTTCTTTTACGAGTTGATCACGGATTGATATCAGTTAGAAAACCATTGAAATTGGTAACATCTGTAGCTTTTATGTAAGCGCTAAACGAAGTTCGTGCTGAGTAATTTTGTAGTGAATGTTTTTCTCAATACCATTTTGGAAAACATTGCAGCAATCATTCGAGTTTTGCATTATGTCTCATCAATATTGTCCAGAAAATCATCATGCGTACACTTGAGTGTTATATTTCAAACTGTGGCTACATGAAATTGATTTCTTTCAAAGCAGCGTGGTATGAAACACGTAATTCTTTAAGTTTTCCACTTAGTTTTAACTAATTTTTGACATCTTATTATTATAATCCATCATTTTGTCACTTTATCTTGTACAATATTTTTTTTTGAATAATCTCCATAATATACAATGTAACAACTCAAAGTAAATTTAACTGGATGTATCTCTGTATTCTAACTATGCATTTTAAATTCACCTTTTTATTTCTCTCCTCTTTTCTGAATATCTATCTAGCCGAACAGTTCACGTTCACCAGATTACCGATCAGATTATAATCCTACGAATTCAAATGACCGTCTTCTAAGTGGATCATCATCAGCTGGTACTAGTAGCAATAATACAAGTGGTAAATCTATTTCTGGTTCTTCACTCTTTTCCGATTCAAATCCCCTTATGAAATTAGTTGATCATACAAAAGTAAAGTCATCAAGTTCTCTTAGTAAACCATTGAAAAAATCGTATCGGTCTAGATCACGTCAACAAAAAGATTCATAATGAATTGATAATTGAAAATGAAAGTAGAAACTTGTCTCCCTTGTCTTCTTCTTCTTTTTTCTCCTTGTTCTTGATTTCATTTCATTACATTTTTGGGTTTTTCCATTGCCCATCCGCTTTATTTTGTAATACCACTGCGCCTTCCAATGTTATCTGTCTTTATTCTCAATCTTTTTGCTTCACTACTTATTTCAGTAGTCTTGATTTGCCTTCATCTTCAATGTCAGAAGATGACATCTATCGTCATTGTGGCTTTTATTTCTAATAATCCAATGAGTGATTAATGCACAATGAGATGATATTTCCTGTAAACTGTTTCTATTCACATCCATCCATGTCTCTATAAATTCATTTAATAATTTCATTGCATATACTTTATATATATATATATATTCATATTTATTATTTATTTATTTATTTATATATTTACTTATTCACCAGATTAAAATATATTTCTTGTTTAGATATATTATATAAAAGCTACAAACAAACAACCAACCAACTAACCAGTATGTATTGTTTGTGTACAATTTGATTATTTATCATTTGACACCTCTACGCTGATTCTCAATAGGTAATGTGCCTTCTTTTTCTGACATCAGTTTTCTAAGCACATACACACACACACCTTACAAACGTATATATATTATATATGCGCATATATTGTGTACATGCAGATATTCCTCAAAACCGCAGCACACATAGGCCTACTCGTGTTTTGTTGTTTTTCTACTTTTTTTTCATGGAAATTCATTCACATCCCTCCCACATAATATATATTGGTGCATATTTGCCGCTCAGGTTGTGGATACTTTTCTGATAGTTTCTGTGTTTTTTTATTCTCCTCTGAAAGCCTTGAAAATATCTATCTTTCTTTTTTTGTTCCTTGTCGGAGGCCATTCAACATTATTCGTTTTGCATGTCATCTTTATAATCAGTTGCATACACTTTCCCTTTTTTTTCACTCATGAGGAGTATTCATCAAAAAAATAATAAATAATTCACAATTAAAAGTTTAAAGAATAACACAATGATGACTAGAGTGTTTGTTTTTCAGCTTTGTTAATAAAAACAGTATTATTCAAACTTTCAATCGCATCATCGCCTTCTTTTTTTTTATTCTTAATAAATCGTATTACTGTCGTTTTTTTTTTTGGCTGTTTATTCATCGGCGTGTTCCTTTCATTCTCTCTCTCTCTCTCTGTCTGATCACTTAATTAAGACTGTTGGTGTTTATTCCATATAATAAAGATCATTAGTAGTAGTAGTAATAATATCTGTGACTACTTGATGAACAGCTTATGAAAGAGTTTTACACACACACAACATCTGCTACTTGTATGCATCATTCTTCTTCTTACTTATCTCATCATTATCGATTCTTTTATTCCTTAAAGAATTATCATACACAATGATATCTGTTTTGTTTTGTTTTGTGTTCACCTATAATTAAGCCTATTTATGGGTTTAATTTTAATCCAAATAAGTAACTTCGAACTTATCATAGTTATTGTTCCTTTGGGTTCTGAGTGAAACATAGGACTTCATTCAATAGTACATCTCCATTCCAGCCTTGGATGCACGTCTGATTCGTCGTTTCTCATTCGGATTCCACTGTATGACCTGAGACAACATGATTTCACTCACCGAACTCTTCAGAATATGTTCAATTCACTTCCATTTACCTTTGGGGGATAGGTTCTTAGTTGATTCGTTGTTAGAGTTCCTCGTTGCTTATCCTTTCTGACCATTTCATCTTCAGCATTGAACAATGGTAGATGTTGATGGAAGTTTGCAGGAACCTGTTGGGAATGGTAATTGTACCGCGTGTTCTAATTCTCTGCACCATATAGATAAACTGACTTGATATTAGTTGTGAAGATGTGTATTTTGTTCTTTACGCCGAGTGCAGCAGATTTCCACAGTGATTTCAGAATAACTAACATCTGCCTTGCTTTCGCGATCCTGTCTGGCCTTTTGCATCCATATCTATGTCGTCACTGTAGTTGAAACGATGCTACCTACATAAGTGAAAGCGGTAACTTCCTTTAGATTTATCACGTTGATAGGGATTAGTAGTTAGGTGTTTTCATCACTTTTCTAAGTTTACTAGAAGTCCTATCTATACACTAAAGTAGCGCATCTGTGCACGGTAGCTTAGGATTATCAAATGTATTATTCTTAAGTCATCTACATCTCCAGGCAGTACTTATCATTCATTATTACAATGGAGATTTTTAGCTCAAATAGATGATATTGGTGTAGTTGCGCTTTCTGTGCTGCATTTTTAATTGTGAAGTTTTCGTTGTCTTTCTAGACAATATCTACAGCGTTAACTTCAAGATGAAGTGAGTTTCTTTCAAATTCTCCATGAAGGCGATAACTTCATCTTCCCTGGTGAAGTTAAACGTGATTACTTATTTCCAGAGATTTCCTTATCTTCTTGTTTGTTCACCTGTATTGGTAAAGAGTTATAATATTTATGGGGAATTTCGAAAACTCACTTCACATTGAAGTTAGCGCTAAATATGCTGTCTAGAAAGATAATGAAAGCTTCTCAATTAAGCCATCCAACTTGGAGAACACTAATATTCATTATGTTTTACTACTGCAACACATGAAAATAGTTTAAGTCTAAAAAACATTTAAGCTATAATACCGTATAAGTAATATGAGTAAATTTGATAGTTTGTGACAACAGTATTAGGGGAAAGTATATTTATGGATCGCCACTGCTCTATGAGTTAAATCTCCTCAAATTAGCTGGTCATATAAAAGTAAAGCCATTGAGTTAATTTGATCCACCGCACAATGTACAAACGTTTCACAAATACAGTCAACCAACTGTAGGTCGTCGTAACAGCCGAAATTAGTGAGGAATTAGAAAATAGTTTTCGCTAACCGACCATATATATATAATGAAAACACAAGTTTCGAGTGCATGCATTTCTACACATCCGCTATTCTGGTTTCACTGTTCACCTTGGCCATAAAATGAAGCCAGTTAGGTAAGAAACTATAAAAACTATTAAATTCTCTTGATTTTTCTTCGTTATTTTGCCCTGTACTTCTGTTGAATCTACCTTAGTAACTTGTTCCTCATGGTGTTAGCTAAAAGGCTACACGAAAAAACGGTGTAACGATGAGTATTGATGCTTGCGTACTATGAGTAATTCTTTGAGATCTGGATTTATTGTTCACTATTTATTCATTCTGTGAGTGTTTGCTAGAAGCCTGAGTACTCTAATACCATTTCTATAGAGTCTATATTTTCTTCTTTGATACTAATTAGTGGGGTAAATAGTATTTTAGAAAGTGAGATAATAGAAAACAATTCTACAAATGATACTACAGAATGTGTTGAAACCTGAAGTGTGTTGTTTTTCAAAAATAACACTCAGCTATCCGTATACTTAATTAAACAAGCTCATAAATACAAGTTATTGAATTCCAACTCAGTAGGTTGCCTTTGTAAACTGAAGTTCCTGGATCTGATTCCTGATAGCGTCATGGGAGTGCACTGCTAAAGAGCCCCAAACTACGACAGAATAGTTATCTGGTACTGTTTTGTTTTCAGTGATTCCCTGACTACTTTTGACTCCTGATGAAGTTCACATTGAAAGTGAGCAAATTTCATTCCAACTATGTTTTGTTTAATTTTAACTGAATTAATCGAGATGACTTTGGTTTGCAAAATAAATTTAGTGTATCGGTAATTTGATCACCAGTTACTTTCCTTTTCTTGTTCAACTTGCTTCCCATTTAAATGACAAAACATTACTGAATAACTACAGTTGTGATAAGTGGACAGTAATGTATCATTGATGTATGTGACAACAAAACAGGATCTTTAATGACTTCAGTAATGATAATAAGAATATTACATTAGATACAGGATTTCATCATGAGCTGACATCAGTTAGAGAACCATTGAAAAACCTGGGAGTACTGGACAGCTGTTTCGTCAGCTTAGTCAGTACGCACCCACCACCGGGGTTCGAACCCAGGACCTTCTGATTACAAGGCGAGCTGGCTCGTAGATTATTTAGCCACTGTGACCCGATCCAATGGCCTATGAATTCCAACTTCTGCCAATTCATGACATAGCGTGACCACTAGCCAATGTCTTCGCCGAGTATTCATCCTCACACCTGACCTGCTGTACCCTACTGGCCACGACGTCTCACTAGAACCTCAGGCTCTCTAACTGATGTCAGCTCATGATGAAATCCTGTAACCAATCAATCAAATCCCTACAAACCAATACTTGAATATTACATTAACCTAATAATTTGAAGGCTGTTTCGTTTTAAATACTTTTATCATACAGATTTAGTTTCAGTTAAATCGGCGTTATTTATTATTCCTGGGTGTTGAAATGTCTTTGAAACATGCAAATTAGCCGTAATAGAACTTGAAATTCGTTAGTTCCATGCAAAAATAATGAGTTGAGCAAGAGAACATGATACTATTTTATTTCGTTGATTCTTGTCAACTCAAAAATCTGTTTCAAAATTAATGTACAGTATATTCAACACACTGATTTATTCGTTAGAAGATGGCAATCATTACTATATTACGTAATTGAATGTACGAAGAGTTGACATAAGAGCCCTATTGGTATCAGTAGGCTTGTTCATATATATAAGAAAGTTACAAGAATATTTCACAATCAGGAATGGAAGTTGGTGCATCAGATGTCACGTAAGAGTTGTAAGTTCTGATTAGTCGAAGTGATTAAAATAATAATGAGTTCAGTAGAAGTCAAATATTCAAGTCAGCAGTACGGATGAAGACAAAATATAAGCAATTTATGCACGCGCTCGCTCCGATACATTTCCAGTTCATCGACTGCATACAAGACCTGAATGTATCTAACAAAATTATGCTGTCCTTTGACACTGAGTCACTTTTCACCAATGTCCTACTCACTGAAATGGTTTGCTTTATCTGTAAATATACAAATGTGAACCATTTCAGTATTGGAATACCAACAGCATTTTTGAAGGAATTACTTCTGAACGTACAGTTCACTTTCAACAATCATCTATAGAGAAAAAGATGATATTGCAAAGGGGTTTCCTTTCGGTCCACTACTATCAGACTACTTCTAGACAAGCCTCGAGAAAGGTCCACTAAAGCCGAGCATTGACAATTTACGACTGTATAAAAGATACGTAGATGACATATTCATTATGTCCTCATCTACTGCTGCAGACATTTAACTGTTGCCATCCAGCAATAAAATTCACTCTTGAAATGGAAAACGAATCGAAAATTCCCTTTCTTGATGTGGAACTAACAAGAAGAACTGATGGAACCTTAAAAAGATCTATCCACAGAAAAGCTACTTGGAATGGTCAACTAACAAGTTTCTATAGCTGGATACCCATTCAACAAAAGCGGAATTCAATTAAATCCCTTGCCACCCTCATCCAACGCATCTGTAGTCCCGATGTTCTAGAAACAGAATTAGATCTTTTGAGAGAAATCTTCATCCGAAATGGATAGCCACCAAGATTCATTGACAATAGTATCAAACCAAGAATTTGGAGAAATGAAACTTCACTTGCACCGAAAAAGAAACTCTACATGAACTTGGATTTCAAGGGCGATTTAACAAGCGATATTCTCAAGAGAGGGATCACATCATCTCTGAGAAGAAAGCAGCCAGGCTAAGAATAGTGTTCTCCAGTTGCCCACTGATCTGCAGAATCCTTAAGGACAAGCTCCCGCATCTGACCACTTCTATGTGCATATATCAGTTCACCTGGTGCTGTGGAGCCAGGTACATCGGCCGTTCGACGCTCATCCTGTCCAAGAGAATTCAAGAACACTATATAAGGAGTGTGACAATTGAACACCTGGTTAACACTGATCATTCCATCTCAACAAACTCCTTCAAAGTAATCTACGGAGTTAAGAATAACCTATCAAATGCAATACAGTTTCGTCTTCTTTGTATTGCTGAAGCTCTGGACATTCACATAGAAAAACCGGAGCTGTGCATCGAAGAGAGAATTACTCAACCACTTCTACTATCATGGTAACAACTCTGTTGATTTTTGATGACTTAATTTTGTTTGTTTGCCTGCTTCTTTAATTGCTTATAATTCTTGTATTCATTTAGAACTTCTACGTAATTTCGTATTCTCTACTTTGTTCCTATGTGTATCCTGAGTACAACTCAATCATCAAACTATTCATATTATTACGTAACTCCTTTTTAACAACTGTTTGTGACAACTCATCACCTTTGTTACTACACTAGTTTCATTAACACCCAATTTTCTTGACCGTTTTTGTATTACGTAACTCCACCCAAAACTTACTAATTCTCACCTGCTTTAGTTGAAATCACCATAACCAATTTTATTTTTGTTTGACAAACTTAATGTACACATACATACAAAATAATCCATATATGTTTTCGTTTGTATGGC